AAGAATGGACTTACAATACGTATTCATGTATGACCGTGCGTATCCACGCGCGTATACATATGAAGAGTGCAAGAGTGTGAGAGAGAAAGAAAGAAGAGCGAGAGAGAGAGAGAGAGAAAGAGAGAGATGATGATGATGATGATGATCATTACGATGACGACCGGGCGACTCTCGATATTTGCATGTATAGATATATATACAATGTACCCCGTGACTTTTATTGACGACGACTGCATTGCTCCCCCTGACAAAGGCTCGTATATTCATTACATAGTTGTATTTGCAATTATTACCTATACATATATATAAATATATATATATATATATATATATTTATACATTTATATTTATATTTATATATACGTTAAGAAAAAAGGATAAAAATAATGAGAAAATAGAAAAAAATTCATATATTATAAAAGCTCTTTTATTGCAACGAAACGTTTATATAATAAATCATCCGCAATATTTATAAATACGTATAACGTAAATATCATTCTTTTATTTTATATACATATTTTATATATTGTACATGTATGTATATAAAATATAAGAGCTTTTATTGCTGAAATGTTTATCAATAAGATTTCGAAGTTGTTTTTCTTATTAACAACTTTTTCACTTACAGTTAAGAATTGCTTAGCTTACTAACGACTAAACGCTGAGAATAACAGCCGTAGACTCTCTAACTGGATTGCTAAGAATTAAGCGACACATCATGCCGAAGGCACGTACCGCAATAGTTCAATGTCTGTGGCTATTCTAAGTACTCGCTAGGAAGTACTTAGATAGAAAAGGTGATTACAAGAGATTATAACTTCCAAGTTTTTCTTATCAGTATCTTTTGATAAGCCAAATGATTAATAAATTTAAATATTAGCACGCGTAATATACATACGACTGATAAGAGCTAGATATAGAAAGCTGATATGGATCCAACAAAAGCAGTATCAAATTAAAAATATGTTAGACGAACGTTAAAGGAATCGTCTATCCTTCGGCATTATTCGCTGAATGCGTACTGCTGTTGTATACGCGAGCGTGTAAAAGGATCTGCGGTCAGAGAGGTAAGAGGAAGAGACGATACGAGACTTCCACAGCAGAGATGTGAAGCGTACGTGCTGACAGGCGTGTATGGAGACAGGACTGGCTACTAACATATATGGTGGAACGAGGTCGAACGTCTCTCGAACCTTCCATGGACAGCCGAGACTGCGCCGTTTGAACCTACCTCGATAAGCAATGGATACAAATGTCGCTCGATCTATATCTCATCGGTTCACCATGTGTTTTAACGATACAATCGTTCAATTTTAGAGAACTTGTAAATAACTGACTAATGTACTATCTATATCTTTTAGATCAGTCTATATTTTAGATTGAAGCACATTACGATTAATTACACATGTTTAAAAAGTTTTTCGTTTTTTTCATTTATTATCGTTTAAAATAGAAAAATGAGTTATTTAATTTGTTGATTGATTATATTATCATTATTTTCTTGCCGTGAAGTCTTAATGTATTTAAAAAATTGTTTTCAACTAGAAGAACAAAAAATATTAAGAGTATGTTACCTATTCTTTTAATAACCTAAAGTATTAGGGATAAAATATACAAATAAAGAAATACCAAGGTTTGGAGTTATGTATGTGGAGGAATATATTTATTTTGAATTTATTTTAAAGTTGAACGCTTCAAATGCATATTAAAGTTCAACGCTGGGAAATGCATATTGTACACAATGAATAGCGTGAATAGCGCAACTTTCAAACAGATCGATATCTATTAATGTATAATATATTAGGTGCAAATGGGATAAATGTGAAAGATCGGTGCAACTTGTCCCACAAATTATCATGTGAGAATGCTAAATGACATGGGCGCTGATGAAATGATATACGTTGCAAAAAGATCTTGTTAATAGTTGACAAACATGTACATTATTGTAATTAATGTTATCAATGTATATCTATAAAATTATTAAACGTAGTAACACTCGGAAATCTTTTTATCCCATTTCTTTTTTGTTTTGCTAAATTTCAAATCTTTAGCAAAAAAAGTTATTATCTTGCATTGATAGATAAAATATTGTCTTTTGTAGCATTATATGTAAATATGTAATTAATTAAATGTCACACAATCAATAATTACACATAAAAGTTTTTAAAATTTTTATTAATTTTATTTTTTGTAAGCAATTAGATCAAAATACCTCTAATTTTTTAAACTTCTTTTTTTTACATAAAAATGTTTTGTAATATCGCAAAAAATATATATAGATACATATATCTGTGAAAAAATGTACGAACTACGAATGTGTAAAACTTTGAATGTAATAACATGAAATGAATATTTTTCATGATGCAATTAATACAAACACAAATGTTCTTTTATAAAATGATAAAGAATATTCATTAAAAAAAATTTGTTCCATTTAGTTATTATTGAAGTCAAACATACTGATAGTGACAAATCGAGGATCAAAACACGGAAAATTTATTAATGAATGATTTAATATCAATCTACGTTTCATAATATTTATTTAAAAAAAAATATTTTCAATTCCGATAGAGTAATAGAGATATAAAAAATTTATATAATAGTATATATCATGAAATTAATATTTCCCTAATACATATATTTGATATTCAATAATTAATTACAAAAATTTAGTCATTTTGAGATGTCAATAAGATTTTAAAAAATTCAGAAATCCTTCGAATCCTTTTCGCATTTTATAATAATATAAATAATTGGTAAAAATTAAACCATTATGATATCGATTCGGAACCAGTGTAGATGAAGAGATTACCTACTACGTTTATTAAGTACAAAATCGAAAAGAGCCAATAAAAAAGTTCCTAAAAATAAGAACATGGAAAATTATGCAAATTTGAGAAAACAAAAATAAAACTAAAAATAAAAAATATTTAAAATAAAGAATATGAACCATAGCGAGAATTCCTTTGAAAGTTGAGTACCGACAGCTTGAAACAAATCAGTCTATGAGAACGCGTTAACATCTATTCATCTCTCTCTCAATGTGCTTTTATAATTTATAATGCATTGTTCTCCAGAAAAACTGCCCATTGTTCACTATAGAAACGCAACAGAAGTTCGAATTGTGGACAAGCATATCTCGCGATTTAAAGAAAAAGAGACGCAAGAAAAAGAAAGAAGACAGGAAGAAACTTTCGGGCGCTGGTTTAATATTTAACCGGTTACATTTAGATGATCAAGTTCTGATGCAACACAGAGCGGCGTCAAAGTACTCGGAACGAAGAGCGTGGATAACACCGAGGCCTCGCAGAGATCTGATAAAATCGCGCGCGGCGTGTTAGAGCTCCGTCGCGTCGCCTCGCGTCGCACCGCTTCGCGCAGCGCCGCGACGCGACGCCGCGTACCGCGCGAAAACGCGTTCCCCCTACGGACGCGCAAAAGAGGCGTGGTTTATGTTCGCAGCGGTGTGTATAAGAGACAAACCTCCCGAACCGATTAGCAAAGTTCCCCAAAACACACGTAATACCAGACTTTTCCATGTCAACTGAGCCGTAGGAGCGTAACGACCGGACGATTGAGAAAAAATCGACACGAGACGTAAACGAAACAACAATACGGCACATTTTGGAGAGAGACACACCGGTGGAGAGAGAAAGAGAGAGGGAGAAAGAAAGAAAAAAAAACAGAGAGGATAAATCGAGATTCTTGAACCCGTTCTCCAGCGACAAATCATCAGGAATTCTCGTTGTTTAAACACACCGAGGAAAGTCGCACGTCATTCGACATAAGGCCACCGACGGGCGACGTGTAAAAAGAAGAAATTTGCGGTCGCGAGAGATAAGGAATTCAATTCTTTTTTATTTTGTGAAAAGGAATTTCCTCACGTAGTGTGGGACCCCTTTCCCCGGTAGCTTTCCGAACGAATTCGTAGACGGGGAACTCGCAACAGAAGCGAGCCGCGGCGTTACTATATCCGCGACACGGAGCCGGCGTAGTGGTTGGTGGTGCGGTGGAGGTGGTGAATCACGGAGACAGGTAGCGAGCCCGTGAGAACGGTTCTCATTTAGGCTCCGATCGTTCCCTGCGTCACGTCTTGACGTCTCTCGAGGGTGCGTAACACCACGCCAACGTTTCGCACACCCGGCTTTCTTGCCCGACGACGCACGCACGCATTCATCCAACCAAAACCACCCGATCGATCAACCAACCAACCAACCACCCACGCACGCACGCGAAGTGTCGCAACTACGTAGACGCGATATACGGTAATCAAACGCGATCGATCGAAGGCGCGCGGAAAGAAAGCGCATTTCAATCGGTCGCAGCTGCTGTCAGCCGCTGTCGACGACGACGACGACGACGACGACGTTCTGTCACTCTGCCCGCTGTCATAACAGAGCCACGTGTGATCGGCCGCGACGTGCGTGCGCAAGCAAACGAATATACGGAATAACGTACGCATACACATATAATACACAACGCGCGCACCTGCGTACGTAGGTACGCCCACGCACGCGTCCGCCGCGCCGGCCGATCAAGGCGCACTGCACACGCCGGTCGCGCATTGACGAGAGAGAGGAGCCGCGCCGCGACCTAGCCGACGGCCACTCCAACGATATATCTCATCGGCGTCGCTCGTCAGGGACAGACCCCCGAAGAGGCCAGGCCCAACCGGAGCAACTGGAAGTAATTCTATTTGACGAGATAAGTGGCCGATAACCCACGGCCACGACCAACTTAAAGGCTCGCGCCAATACCAGGCCAAGTCTCGACAACAACAACAACGACGACGACGACGACGACGACGACGACGACGTCGACGACGACGACGACG